CATATGTATATAAGTGCGTGCATATATACAAAAATGNAATAACCAATATATATTTATTCAAATGGCTGAATACCATAAACATATGTACATAAGTGTGTGCATATATACAAAAATGCATACATATATACAATTTTTGATTTTATAGGACACAGAGCTCACTTTCAATTATCACTGGGATGATTTGCTTGGCAATGAGAAGAAAATATGCTTATGTGGCGCAGCAAAATGTGCTGGTGAAATTGGTGGAAAAAACAAAGAAGAAAAAGTGCCTAAAGTGAGTTCAAATGTTTATTGAGTTTTCATATGGAATGCATATGTACATATGTTTTTGATTATTAGGAGAATTCTGCTGTGGATGTCAATAAGGCAAAGTCCAGTGCTGCACGTAAAAGGAAGCCGCTGAAAAGGCTGCAGAATCGTATGCGCGAAGGAAATGAGAAGAGAGATCGAAAAAAGCTGTCGAATAATGTTAGTGTTAAGACTCAGGAGAAATCGTCCAAAGCCAATACAAGCACTAAATTGGCAGATCAACAATTATCTGGAAACACGGGTAGTGATGCGCCGGAGGAAGATAGTAACATAATCGATATTACAGCCAATGACGATGAAAATGGCGAATCTACAAATCTATTTTGATACAAGTAATTTTTCAGTTCGCATCTCGTTTCGTGCATGTATAGAGATATCCTTAAAAATTTCTGTTTATAACGTGAGTAAAAATTTTATTGTTTAAAAATTGTTTTCGTAAATAATGTAATTATTTTTGCAAAGAGGGTCGATCATACGTATTTTCATCGATCATTATAAAAAGAAGTACATAAATTGATCGTTAATAGTTTATTTTTAGCTTCCTTCTTCCATATAGTCGTAAGTGATAATTACAATTTATTTACCGAGCCCAAATCTCACCGATAAGTGAAAAACTAAGCATATAATTGTTTTATTTAAAATAAACAGCTCTATGCCATTAAAAAGCATTATATTCTATTTTAAAAAATAGTCTGCAATAATCAATTCACTTTAAAGACTTCGTCCGTGTAATTAAATTGAAACCTTAAGCGAATCCAACGTAAGTGGTTAATTGCAATAATTAAGCTTTTACATGTTGAAAACATCATTTGAATCTACGCGGTGTATATTGGTTCTAATACTTTTGTCAGCACAAGCGAAAGTATATCGGCAGAATAGTTCCCGTACGAGGAGGAGCAGCCACCACCTCTGGCAGTCCGTCAACCTGTGGGACACGCCAGAGCGAGGGCTAGACCTGGTAATTGGTTGTGATGCAAATGGACACCACCAACTTTGTGAATGTTTCGTCACCATACATAATAAACGGTCATTCTGTAATGGGGTTAGGAAAGAACTTATTGATACTGGAGGGTATCAGATACCTATTTCTTTTTGGGCCACAGTAGGATACTCTACCTTTATTCTGAAGTAAAAGCATCAGGAAGCAGACTGGGAAAATTTTTCTAGAATGGCATCGAACATACTAACAGCGATCAAAATATTACAGCGATATTTCGGAATTGNCCAGAGCGAGGGCTAGACCTGGTAATTGGTTGTGATGCAAATGGACACCAACTTTGTGAATGTTTCGTCACCATACATAATAAACGGTCATTCTGTAATTGGGTTAGGAAAGAACTTATTGATACTGGAGGGTATCAGATACCTGTTTCCTTTTGGGCCACAGTAGGATACTCTACCTTTATTCTGAAGTAGAAGCATCACAAAGCAGATTGGGAAAATTTTTCTAGAATAGCATCGAACATACTAACAGCGATCAAAATATTACAGCGATATTTCGGAATTATTTTTTAAGAGCGTTGTCACATGTTAAAAAAGTAAAACTCAATTCATAACTAAATATACTTTAATACGGTTGCTATCTGTTTAAAAAGTTAGAATCAATTCTATTAAAAAGTTTGAACGAAATATTTTAATGTGGTTATCAAACGAGATAGGCAAAATGCTTCATTGTAGAAATATTTTTAAGAGGGTTGTCATCTTTTCAAAGAGTTAAAATCAGTTTAAATAACACGTTGAATAAAATATTATATGTGAGTCAGGTTTACGAAAGCTTTATTTCGAAAATAATTTTGATTAGGGTTGCCTCCTTTTCAAAAACAAGTTAACTGTTCGTAACCTTGCAAAGGGAAATTTCCATACACGCTGCCCTAACCTACTTTCAAATGTCAAGTAAATGTTAATATTTTTCCAAAATGTTGTGGCGGAAGTCTTAAAATCAGCCCAATTCCTAATACTCCCGAGGAGTTTGTTCTCCGGGAATTTGTTTCTCCCGAGGAAGAACTCCTCCAATAATTAACTCCCAGGGAGTAGAATTTTCCCCGAAAGTTTGGGAAGAGGAAATTCGAACTTCGAAAGAGCTGTTGTGACAGCTCAACTCCGCCATTTAAAGTAAAAATTCTAGGGAATTTTTAATCATAATAGGAGGAAAGATAAAAGAGAGAAAAGTCCCAGGGAGTTCCTGTTCAGAATCGGCCTAAATATGATTANACTTCGAAAGAGCTGTTGTGACAGCTCAACTCCGCCATTTAAAGTAAAAAATTCTAAGGAATTTTTATTCATGATAGGAGGAAAGGTAAAAGAGAGAAAAGTCCCAGGGAGTTTCTGTTCAGAATCGGCCTAAATATGATTTTAAACGCGTAAATGCCTCGTAACCGCGTAAACCTCTTAAATAAACCGATTTTCCATACAAAATTAAAAAAGTTTACGAGGTTTACATGGTTGCGAAGCATTTACGCGTTTAAATGAATTGGCCTAATGATTTTACAATTCCGATGAAAAAACAGCCCCGACTGCTTCTTTTTTTTTAAATAAAGTGTGATGCAGATTTGCGAAATGTTCTCTTAAAAAATGTATTTTTATTTTCATTCTTACTTTTACAGAACCTTATGTATCTAAAGCAATTTTATTACAAAAAAATAGAGCTACATATATCACATAGCCCATATTCATGCTTAGTGCCATCAAAATCGTTAAGAACCAAAATCTTAACTAACCTCGACTTGTACAACTCATTATTTTATTTTATTATATTTATATAAAAATGACAGAGTTAATTAAAAATGGCCTATGTGAAATTTTTTTATAATAACGCTCTCATTCTAATTAAAACTATTTCGAATAGTTCTTTATTACAAGTTGTTCCTTTAAGCTAAGCTATTCAGTCGGTAAATTCATTAGTTTTGTTGTTAATTTTTGGATTACGTTGCGTTGTATGAACTCATTTAC